CTTTATTGAACCTAACCCAAGAAATATTAATATTATATTATATATATATATATATATATATATATATATATATATATATATATATATATATATATATATATATATATATATATATATAGAGAGAGAGAGAGAGAGAGAGAGAAAGAGAGAGAGAGAGACACATAATTACAGAATCAACGAAAATTTAAGTATAGAAGAACACACTGGACGCAAGGAAGCTATCCATACAGCGGCTAAATGCTTTTTCTAACCATGCTAAAATAAATGAAGATTGGTGTGACGAAGAATGTTGGAGCCATTAACCAACAGAAAAATGAAGCATACAAGAGACTTCAACAGCGCAGAACGAGATGAAACCGGGACGACTATGAGAATCTTAGACGAGAAGAAAAAAGGACGTTTAAAACGAAAAAGAAAGAGTTGTACGAAAACGTTCTAAACGAGATTGTTAACCACCACAACAGAAAAGACTCGCGAAAATTCTACCAGACGCTAAACATCTGCAGAAAAGAATTCAAACCCAGAATAACAGCATGTAAGACAAAGATGGTTCCACAATTAGTGACAAACAACAGATACTAAACAGGAGGGCGAATTATTTTGAAGAACTGCTTAGCGACAGTCATGAGGAAGACCAAATAGAAATTACGTTGCCTGAAATGGATGAAAACGCTCAAGAGCAGGCCCCCATCGAAGAAGAAATTAGAGAAGCTATTTCAAAACTGAAAAATAACAAAGCCCCTGGTTTGAAAAATCTTCCTGCCGAACTCTTTAAAAATTGTGGTGACACCCTTTTTAAACATATGCATAAATTAGTAACCGAAATTTGGCTACAGAAGGAAACGCACGCAGACTGGAAATTAGGTGTAATGCACCCTCTTCAGAAAAAATGAGATATGATGGTGTGTGATAATTATAGAGGCAACAATCTTCTTAACGTGGCATATAAAGTATTGCCCACCGTATTGTACAGAAGATTGATCCCCTATGCTGAACAAATAGTTAAGAACTACCAATGCGGTTTCTGACCCAATAAATCAACAACCGATCAAATCTTTACAGTCAGGCAGATTCTTGAGAAAACGCTTGAGTTCGGAGTCGATACCCACCAGATATTTGTGGATCTCAAAGCCGCATACGACTTAGTTAACAGACAAAAACTTGTACAGGCTATGGTGGAATTTCAACTTTTCAAGACCCTTCCATTGTAAAAATGGACTGAGACACGGAGATGGACTGTCGTGTCTCTTATTTAACCTTGCACTAGAAAAAGTAATTCGAGAGTACCATGTTAATACGAATGGCACCATCTTTAATAAATCTGTACAAATGGTCGGATATGCAGATGACATAAACATTATTGCTAGGTCCACAGAATCTGTGATCGAAGAATTTCGATCATTAAGGATCTCAGGGCGTCTGCACTGAGAATGGGATTAAAAATAAATGCACAGAAAACAAAGTATATGTATTGTCCTAGATCAGCCAAATACCTAGACTATTAATTGATAATCTGGAATTGAAAGGTGTGGAAACCTTCGTCTACCTGGGCTCGCTGCTGACCAACGACAAAAATGTTAGCGAAGAAATTAAAAGATGAATAGTTTTTGCCAATAAGTGCTATTATGGCTTGAGAAAACAGATGGCCCCAAAACTACCCTTCTTCTTCTTCTTAACATGCCATATACCAAAGTGCGTAGGCGACTATCTCATTACTAGAATTCTGTTCTTGGCGGCGTGACACAGCTCACCTGTATTGTGTATTCCTGTCCATTCTTTAATATTCCTTAACCAGGATAATTGTTTGCGGCCGGCTCCTCTCCTACCTTCGATCTTCCCTTGTAGGATTAACTGTGGTATTTCATATTTTGCTCCTCTCAATATGTGCCCAAGGTAACCAATCTTTTCCTATTTCCAGTTTTCTATTAGATGATACTTTTTTTATTTTATTGAAAGCGTTTTTAGCTATCCCAATGTGTCTTTTTTTGAAGGCCTTGGTTTTATTGTTCAGTTAGTTCACATCCCACATACCCCTCGCAATACTGCGTAGTGCGATAAACCAAAATTTTTACCCCTAATTTGCTATCCGTGAATGGTATTGTGTCGTCTGCATATCTGAGATTTTTACTTGGGTTTCGTTAATTTATATGCCTTTATCGATGTCTTTTAGTGTATTTTTCTGAGCTCATAATAAAAAGTAGAGGGGATACTACACGTTTTTGTCGTACTCCTTTTCTTATAAATATGTCTTTATATTGTTATTGCCTACCCGTATTATGGCTTTCTGATATCGGTATAAATGTCTCATGAAACTTACACCCTGATCATCTATTTCTGTCTTCCTTAATGTGTTTGCAAGCCTTTTATGTTCTGTTTGCTCGAAGGCGTTCTTAAAGTCAACTAGGCTTACAAGATACGTCATAGGATAATACAAAGACACAGGCTTCAAAGCCTATATACAAGAAGAAAGAAGAAGAAGAAGAAGAAGTTTAATTGCAGATTGTATAGGTGTTTTTTCTTCAGCATATCACAGAGGTTTCGCTCATTGACACTTAAGAGGCTCTGTGATCTTCGTGGTTTATGCCTCTCCTGCTGGATCTCAGATTCCAATTACCATGATCAGTTCTGTTTGCGTTTCTTGTTGTGATTGCCATGATAACTTTTCTAGAGATGTCTTACAGGTCTTAAATGCTCTAGTTTCCCAATGCTTTTCGCATCTTCACGCCGTTGATCATTCTTGATCCATCCGCTTTTAGCCAGCCATTAGCAAAGGGCTAAGATAAGAATGCAGAATGTTAACCTTACTGATTAATTTATATATTGAGGCAGCCCTCCAAAATTTGCAAAAACCACTGCCAGGGAATGGAAATCCCTATAGGAAATGACGTACTCTTCTTTCTGAACTTTGCGTATGACCAAGTCGTCCTAGCTCAAGATTCTTATGATCTAGAATTTATGATAAATTTAAAGTCTATACAGAGAATATGTAAAATGGAGTTTACAAGTCAGCTTGAAGAAAACAAAATATTTAGTTACCAATTGAGATGCAAGGTTTGAAGTGTTGATAGACGAGAACGTGGAAATCAAACAAGTAGAAAAATTTAAATATTTAGGTACACTTATTGATACGAACGGGTTGGGAGAAACCGAAATTAAACATTGAACTAATCAGGAACGTAAAATTCTAGGATGTATGAACTTCTTATGGTACGATCACAACATTTCCAAAAGGAACAAAAAAAGAATAGGGCAAACCATAGTTAAATCTGTACTTTGTTATGGCTCTGAAGTATGGACAATTAATGTAGGCCTGAAGAGAAGATTGTTGGCAGTTTAAATGGATTTTTTGAAATGAAGTGGTTTAAAGTGGTTTGGACACCTATTGAGAATGCCTGACGGACGTTGGCCTAAAAACTTTACAGAGGGAAGCCCCCTGAAAGAAGAAAAAGAGGTAGACCTCGACGCTCATGGAATGAAGGAATTAGAAGAGCCATAAAATCGAGAGGTTTGGCATATGAGCAAGCCTTGGACCGGGAGCATTGGCGGAGAAGAACGGGAATACGGCGATAGCCGTCTTCAAAATGTATTGTATTTACAAGTTGGATCCTGTTATATATATATATATATATATATATATATATATATATATATATAAATATATATATATATATATATATATATATATATATACAATTTATCTGATTAAAAGCACTGTATATATATAGTCATCTACTGTGTAGTCGATATTTTTTTAAATAATAAAATATGCCATTCATTGTTGTGTTCGTGTGGAATTGAATTACAAAAATCTATTTATTTATATAGAATGTTTTGTAGCATATCAATAAAAGGCGGACGTTAACGTATACTGCAATTCACCATCCGCAGCTTGTCAAATATTATCTAGCAGTGTATTTTCTTAATATTTTCTTATGATCCATTTTCAAGATAATGTTATTGTTCCGTAGAATAATATCCCATATGAAAACTCACACAATATGCAATGTCAACTTTGAGAACTGTAACTCAAAAGTCAACCAGCTGTAGTGAACAAAACTTACTTAGTGTTGACTTTGAAAGCAACGACACAAAGTTGTTCCTTTGGGTAAGAAGTTTTGTCTTAATTAGCTGTTGTTAGGGAAAGGATTATTTCAGAAGGTTTAGCAATTTTCTGATGTCGCTTAGAAAACGTTACCCATTAAATTAGCCGTGGTGAAACATCAAATCACATCAAATTGTGACGCTCTAACATTACGTATTTTCTTAATTTACTTTACGTTAGTTATTACTTTAATTTATTTTGTTCTAATACTTTAAAAGTAATTTTGGGATTTTTTAATTATATACAGTTAACATTGTAAGTATTATCAAAGCTTTGGATTGGATTATTATTTCGCTTCTTATCACATTATAAAAAGTATACAATTATGTATGATTCTCAGTCACAAAACAAAATTTAAAACAAAACTGAGAATAAAAACAGTTCTTTGCCTTTAAACATAAGATCGAAAGAAAGAAAGCAAGAACTACAATCAATCGCGCATTTGGAAGAAATGGTCGATAGAATGAATTAGACATTAGACAGTAGAGGCAAGTATTTGACAAAAATGGTGTTCAATTATCGGCGAGACTGGGACCTGCGCTTTCCGTTCTTTGCAATGATCTACAGATCCACTGTTAATGAATCAACTGGCCATACACCAGGAAAACTCATATTCTATACGCAAGATGCGACTACCTTGGGATCTAGAGTTTGGATGTCGACCTGGAGAAGATGTAGCTGGTGTAGATTATGGCAACGAATTGAGAAGAATAATGGACGAGCTGGTCCGTTTCCATTTTCAGATTCCAGTTACTGAATAAAGAAACGATACGATACTTAAGCTGAAAATGGAACAAAAAAAGTCTAGCTAATCTAAAGAAGTGAAAAGTTTCTTTTTTCTAGATTGCAGCACTTCTGAGAGACGTAGATGAAGAAGTGGAAGTAAAATAAGTCCAATATGTACCTGATTTTAAATTCATGGGAGCCTATTGAGGTATTAGCAAAGCAATACATAGTGTTATCACTAAAAACAGCTCTACTAGCACTTTTAGACGACAACTTAATAGCCCATTTCATCCTGTTTAGTATTAAATAATTGACACAATGATTGGCATCCATCTGTCAAAGAAAGTTTGGTTGAGTTGTATAGCTGCAATGCCAACTGCCAGCTGCTGGAAAATAAACTCCATAATACATCACCTTACCTTTTCTATCGGGTAACATAAGACACTGCCCATGTCCAACCTAACCAGCAAGATGTATGGAAAGCATTTTTAATTGAGAAAGTACGTGCTGGAGCCCCAAAAAAATATGCAAAAATTAGTCATGCCAAAGCTGGAGTGCCGCCAATCGAATATTGGAGGGTTGTCCTTAATATGGTGGAAGAAATCTTTAAAGACTAATATGAATATGTATTAGTCTGTTGCAATCCGCATAGTTATTGGTGCAATGCGAAAACAATCCCTTGCCACTTTTATACAACTGGGAGTTGTAAATCATGGTTGAGTTGTCGATACCATCACCCTGTTCCAGTTTTAATCTCGACAAGTTTCCAAGAGGAACCATTATTTAAGGAGGGGAAAATGTTTAGATGAGTGCCGTTCAATGACTTGACCTTCTCGAAGATATAATGAGATCGCAGGTTGGCTAAGCCCGCCTTAAGAGTTCGAGATTGGTATAGGCTGACGTCATAAAGGTTATTTGGCGAGATTCTCTATCCTAGCGGTAAAAAAGACTCGATAAGCCAGTATCTGTGTGACGTCAAAGGGTACCCGGTGTTTCATTCTAGTACATTTAATGGATCTCAAATAACGGTTAGTTTAACGTAAATAGAGACTTTTTATTGTAAGCAGTTATTCAAAGATATGAACTTCTATCGTTCAGAAATAAATAATTATATAAATTATTGTGTATTGTAAATAATTATGTTATAAATAAATTAAAATAAGTGTAAATAAATACTAAATAAAATGAGTATTAAGAACGTTGTAATAAGTCACGTTACAATATAATATTCCTCTTTAACATGAGGTGTTTTTATACGATAATACTTGATCGTTTTTTATTATTTTAATAATTATAATTTTATTTATATTTTTTTTATTTTCATTATTTTTTTTAATAGGGTTTTCGAATAGACGACGGCGAAAATAATACTGTAAGTTTACAAAATGTAATAAATTGGACTAACATATCTAGAGGGGACGCCAAGGTTATAAAATACTTATTACTATTATTTACAACAGTTTTGCACGATATGTGGTGAATGGGTTAAGTCATAAGCCAAACGCATCCTATAAAAACACACCTTTATTAAACGTGATATCAAACTGCTTTGCTCTTTTTTTATTGGGCGTAATAAATAAGGCGATAAAAATCTTTTTTTTATTGGAACAAAACGGAAATATCATTCTGTTGTATGTTATTTTTATTTTATCCTAATTTTTTTTATTTTTGCATTAATATACATTGAGTTCTTACATCTTTATTTTTATCTTTCAAGTCTTGTGGTCACCCATTTTTATTCTTTGATGCAAGATGCAGTAAAATTCAAAATCCAAATTCCAGAAAAATTGTCATGGATGAGTACAACAAACACAACTTGGTAAATAACACGAAACAAAAACGGTGTAGCTATTACAGTAAATACAGAAACAGCTAGAGGGCTGCTATGATTTACATCTACTTCGAATAGAGTTCCACAAATCAACTTCTAGCCCTCTAACATGTACGTCATTTAGGGTTACGTACCTACAGCCAAATCTAGTGAATTAAAAATAAAAAATATTTTCCATAAAAATTATTGTACTCTAAATTGCGGGTGATATACTCCTGATCTCCTCGGAACGACAAGAACTGGAATTAATGCTGAATGAACTTCATGAAAAATCACTGCAAAAAGGCCTAAAAATTAACTAACAAAACAAAAGTAATGACAAACACGGAAGACCAAGAGGCAATAAAAATAAAAACAGAAAAAATAGAACAGGTAAATGAGTATGTCTATCTAGGACAAGCAATCAGAGCTAATAGAGAAAATCAAACAGCCGAAATATCGAGACGAGTAAGAATGGGATGGGCAGCGTTCGGCAAACTTTCTTACATTCTAAAAAATCAAACAATCCCTCTATACTTACGAAGCAAGGTATATAACCCCTGTATCATACCGGTGCTCACCTACGGAGCACAGACATGGACATTTACACAGGCCAATTTGGATAGGATAAGGAAGGCACAAAGAGCGATGGAAAGACAAATGTTGGGTGTATCACTTAGAGATAGAAAACGTAACTAGTGGATCAGAACCAGAACAAAGACAGTAGACGCGATAGAACAAGCAGCAAAACTGAAATGGAAATGGGCTGGACACAATGAACATCTCTAAGACGGACGATGGAACAATGCCATCGGAAAGTGGCGTCCATACAATGCAAAGAGATCCAGAGGCAGATGAAGTGGAAAGATGACATCAGGAAACAAGGAGGTCCCACATGGCAGAGAACAGCTCAAGATAGGGAAAGATGGAGAGAACTGGGGGAGACCTATATCCAACAATGGGAGGATAGAGAATAGGTTCAAAAAAAAAACAAAATTGCGGGTAGCGGGTAGGAACTCCTTTTGATAGTCTTATAAGGGAAAGTGAATCCACTCCTGAGCTCCGCAGATTCCAGGAGCTTTACCTAGGACAACAATAAGATGACACTCTTTATAGAAACATATAATGCACGTTTCTTACTATCTGATGAAAGACTTACTGAACTTGACTGCGAACTATAAAACATAAAGTGGGACATAGTCGGTCTCAGCGAAGTCAGAAGGCATGGCGGACACTTAATTAAACTAAAATCAGGACATCAATCAGGTCGTAATGGAAAAACTCGAAACGAAATAAATTTTATTACCACGGGCAAAAAACATACCGTTAAAGACATTATGGTTCTAAACAGATTTGTTACCAGTAGCGGTCATAGAATGGTGCGAGGTAAAATAGAAATAAGCTTAAAGTAGGAGTAGTATAAGATGATTAAAAAGAAGAACAAATTAAAACCATGGATGAAACATGTTGAAACTATGATGAAACAAATGTATTTTCGACATATTTAGTAGACCTGAAACAGAAAATAATATAAACGACTTAAATAATAAATTAACAAATGCAGAAAAGAAGAGAAATGAAAAGCTATACGGACTACACTATATTACTTACTATATAACTAAATCCAACGAACTACAAAAATTAAGTAAAGAAATATTCAAAGCTGTTAGACAAGACACTCAAAAATACAACCAAGAATAACTCGAACATACCATTGTAAAGAATAGAAGTATAAAAGTATTGAGAAAAAGGCTAAGAACAGGGACAAGGCAGATAATAAAAATTAAAGATAGAAATGGTCATCTTACTACCAACAGACAAGAAACGCTTAAAATAGTTATTAAAATACTTCTACAAATTGCTGTATACAAGCCAACATAAAGCAAATACCAGAAAAGATCAAGTGCCAGAAATATTAACAAGAAAAAATGGCATTGTCAACCAAGGATCTGAACTACTACCGGAAATCACAATGGACGAAAGAAAACTAGTCCTAAGAAAAGCTAAGAATAACAAATCTCCAGGCGAAGATTGTGTAGTTACTGATGCAATCAAAATCGGAGGCGCTTACCTCAACCTTAACCTTAAAAAAATAAAAAACCTTTTTAACCTGTGTCTCTTGGACAGTTATATACCCGATAAATGGCACAATGCCTTAGGTAATTCTATTGTACAAAAAAGGAGATTCCCATAAATTAGAAAACTACAGACCTATAAGTCTTCTTAGCCACAATTTATATCAGCCAATAGAGCAAGCGGAATTTTGTACCGAATTTGGAACAACTGATCACCTACAGTGCATTAAAACGGTAATAGAAAAGACTGTCAAATACAATCGACCACTCGTTCTGGCTTTTGTAAATTTCCTTTGACTACCGATATACAAGGTTAATTTACAATACTTACAAGAACGCAACTATGTCGGTGAAACTACATGAAAACACGGATCATATCCCAATCGGCAGAGGAGTCCGACAGAGTGATACCTTGTAACCTAACCTAACCTAACCTAAACTTTTTACCGCAGTACTAGAATATGGTTGTAAAAAACTTAACTGGGGAGAGAAAAGCCTGAACATTGAGGGTAAAACATTAACAAATTTGAAATTCGCAGACATAGTTTTGATCTCGGACAACCTCAAGGAGATATGTACAATGGCCCATAAACTTCAGTTAGTGTGTGCCAGTGTGGGTCTTAAAATAAACATCTTCACAACAAAATTCATGACAAACCTAATACCTAGCGGAAATATCAATATTGGAGACAACGAAGTGGAGCTGGTGGAAAAATACATGTATCTTGGACACGAAATAAAGATCACATGAGACAACCAAACATGCGAACTACGAAGAAGAATAAATCTATCATGGACAGCCTATGGAAAACTCAAAGACATCTTTAAATGGGATATACTAATTTCTTTAAAACGTAAAACATTTGACCAATGTGTGTTGCCTGTGATGACCTATGGTGCCGAAACTTTGACATTGATAGCTACAAGTTTCAAAACGCTGCAAATAGCTCAGAGGAAAATAGAAAGGTCAATGCTGAGTATATCGCTAAGAACAGGAGTTACCGATGTAATTTCCCGAATTGCCACACTGAAATGCAACTGGGCCAGACACGTCGCCCGAATTAGTGATGAAAGGTGGGCGAAAAGATTGCTTGAGTGGAGACCGAGATTAGACAAAAGAAGTAGAGGAAAACCCCCTACTCGTTGGACTGACGATCTCAAAAAATGTCAAGAAATTGGATCAAAAGTGCTCAAGATAGAGCACAATGGACAAAAATGAGGGAGGCCTATGTCCAGCAGTGGACGCAAAGGCTGGGTGATGATGACTCTAAATTACTTAAAAACTCATATAACACTCAGATATTTCTAGAGCATTAAATCAAAATTGAGGTAGATGTATTGTCTTGTCTTGCAAATCTTAGAAAATATACTATTCTGAAGTAAATAGAATAAAATTGGTTAACGTGGTAAATAATATCTGCGAATTGAAACCATTGCGAGAGAGTATAAAAGACAAATGGATGCGGAAATAAAGAGCCTGAAAGCGGTGGAAAGTGTGGAGATATTATACACAAAATGTAGACAGATAATAACTGAGAAGGAATCGGAAGTATTATATAAAACCAAATTAGTTAGACAAAAATAATGGTTTGGCGAGGGGTGCTAAGAAGCAATAGATAAAAAAGGCCATTTGGGGAAAATCAGTTGGAAAACATAGAATTTTTTAAGAAACCAAAACGAAACTCGAAAGTTCTACAGAAATGTAAAAACGATGAGTAAAGACTTTAAGTCGAGAATAAGGAGCTGTAAGGATGGGGAAGGAAACATCATGGCTAAGAAATCAAAACCAAACTCAAAAGTTCTACAGAAATGTAAACAAAATAAATAGAGTCTGTAAAGATGGAGAAGGAAACATCCTGAGTGTTACGGCCTGAGTCTTGAGCGGGTTGAATTTTTCGACGTAAAATTTACCGTTTATTATATCAAAGAAGCAGATAACACTGTAGGAGATCGAAATGATTGGAATTTATTTAACTCAAACGAAAGATCACCCATCACTGAAGAGGTTGCCCAAGGCATTAAAAAGCTTAAAAGTAATAAAGCTCTAGGAACAGACCAAAATTGTAGTGAGCTCTACAAGAATGGTGATGACGCCCTGCTACAAGCACTGCGTTAACTTTTACTTCGTGTTTGGCAAAATGAGACCATGCTCTGTGAATGGTTTTAAGACGTAATATGCCCATTAGATAAAAAAGGCGATCAGCTTCAGTGTGACAACTTCAGAGGTATAACCCTATAGAGGAAAATACCATATGTATATATATATATATATATATATATATATATATATATATAGCAATCAATGAGGAAATTATCGATCCTTTGCGATAAAGGATGGACTTGGACAAGATATTGCCCTGGCTTGCCTAATATTTAAGGAAAAGGCAGTCAGTGACAAACTAGTTAGAGATGGTGGTACTGTTTACAATAGATCGATACAAATGATTGATGAACGATGACCATGATTGCTAAAAATCTAACGACAGGAGCACCTATAGGAAGAAGAAGCAGAAGCAGACCGCGAATTAGTTGGTTAGATGGAGTTGAGACCGACTTAGGGATACTAGAAATATGAAGATGGCAGCTAGTGGCCAGAAACCGAACAGAATGGTGACTAATCTTGGAGCAGGTCAGGATTCACAGAGAATTATCGAGCCAAACATGATGATAATAATAGATAATATAGTAAGAAAATATACACTTTAAAAGACGAATATTCTGTAATTTACTATCACTAATGTTTCTCAATGTTTTGTAGTTTACGATGACACTATCTTTCTAGAAATTTTTGGTTAACCCTAGGTAAACAAAATGATTCCCTTTAATATAACGATAACCAATTTTGTATTTTTGTTGTTTTGGAGTATTTTACTTTAAACACTATAATTGGCCCCTTTTGTGGATGTTTTCATATTTTCATTTAATTTATACTAAGACAAAGTTTATATATCACTTTGAAAATTTTAAACCATCGGCTGGTCATCGGTAAAAGTGTTTATTTTTATTTGTGTCTGTTGATTAATTTGGATTTGTATCAGGATACATATCAAAAAGTATTGGTAATACACTACAAACGATTTTTAGTCTTTGGTTGGTTTTTATTCGTTCCGTTTCGTTTGACTACACTTTAATTGCGATATTTATTGATAGCTCTGATTAGGTGTATTGGGTATCTCCTTTTTTTTATAATTTCAAATAGTTTGTATGTATCAAACCAGTTGGAATCTTTAATAAAAAATGTGTTTCTTTATTTTGTAACAGTGGCGTCCTCCCTTTTGACATGGTTTACTAACAAACTAACATTTATATGAACTGATATAAACACGACAAATAAAAATTCTTTGTTTTTAATACTAAATAATTAATATTCATCTGGTTTTTCTATTTTATCGAATATACTTATATTGACTTTAAACTTTAATTAGTATTAATCAACTTCTTAAGGAGTGAGTGTAAAATTAAAGAAAACTTATTTTGCTATATTTTTACCAAATTTACTTAGAATAACCTAAATGTATTTACGGTGGTGGGTGATCTGCTAACACAGATAATATGTAAAATAATATACACAACTTTAGTGATAATTTTTTGTTATTTTTTTCTTTTCTAGATAGAACGAATGGACTACGATGGATCGTACAGAGAAGGCAGCGGAACCGATGATCTAGGAATTTTCCCGCCTCCCCCACCGCCGCCTGACGGTAAGACTTGCTTTTGTGATTCTGATAAAGAACATTGTTGTAATTCTCTTTATGACGGTGACAAAGCAGCCGCTGGATATTATCGAGGAGAGAAAGGAGATCGAGGGCCCAGGGTAAGTGTAGATAAAATGTATTTAAATCGTTTACAACACTGTAAATTGATATTTTGATGTAAATAATAAAATTATTGAATTTTCTAATACTACATAAAGAAATTATACAGGGTGGCCCATCCTATACGCGTCATGTCTGACTCTATACCTAAAACTTTAAAGTTTATTGCTTGTTGGGGGTATATAGGGCAGTTAACACTACAATTTAAAAATAATATAAATTATACAGAATGCTCCCAGGATAATATTATTAAAGTTGTATTTTTTCTTATAGAAAATCTTATATTTGAATACTGACATTTTTGAATTGTCTTTAAAAAATATACTATACTCAGGTTTGCTATACCTAAATACAGAACGTTTTGATTTATTTCGATTTTTCTAATAATATAAGGTTGTAGAAAAAAAATTTCTTTAAAATCCTTTACAAGGGGTGTATAATAAAATACCCAAACGGGTTATATCAAGTTTACCATCATTGTATCATCCATATTCATCAATTTTCTTGATTTCACCATTACCAGATTAAATGACCACTTCGACTTCAGTATCTATAGGAAACCCACACAGACCGCCCATGGAATACCCTTCTTATCTAACCACCCCATGTCACAAAATATGCAACTTTTCATATTTACATCCATTGCCTGAAAACCATTCCACTTTCTCATTGAAACTACAAAAAAGAACTTAACATCCTTAGACAAATAGCAGTCAATAACGGTTATGATCAAAACATCATCAATAAACACATCCATAGAAGATGTTTTAGGATCCTGCAGGAGACTGCGTTCCCCAGAGGCCCTACCAACAAACTCAATTACGTTTCACTTACATACCATCACAAGAGTATTTCTGGATATATTCGAAACCTCATCAAACGTTCTGTTAAAAATATCCATGTTTCTTTTAAAGTACCTAATAACTTGGGTCAGTATATATCTAATTTCAAAGATCCCATCAATTACAAGAACCGTAGTGGTGTTTATAGACTAAAATATTCAGATTGTGATGCCACCTACATAGGAAGAACATGTAGATCATTGTCTTCACGCTCTCTAGATCACACAAAATAAGTAGATACTTCCACTTTCTCTCAACATATTAAAGAACATAACCACACCCTCAATATCCCAGAAGACGTATCACTTATTCATAATATCCCTCAAAAAATCTTTCTCAAACTAGACTTATATGAAGATATAGAAATTATTAAAGAAAAACAGAGAAGTCCAAATTGTGTTAACCGTCATGTCTCAGTCAATCGAGATTTCCTTCCGCTCCATCGTCAACTATTCTCATAACCCACATCCTCACTTTTTTCAACACATCTACCTCTCCATCTTTCCCTACTCCTTTCTAGGAATCTAAACGTCAAGTCTGACCCTTATACCTAATATTCTCCATGCTCCTTTCGACAAACTAAATTCAGAGCAGATTATTCCACTTCCCCTTTAAAATAATTCATTATCATACATCTTCACCTACTTATCCACATATTTATTCCGTTTTTAGCACACCTTATTTTACTCATCCACTTTTCCCTCAGGGTTTGGTTTCGGATCTCTGAAGACTTCAACCTCTTGTGGAATCTAATTTTTTTTTCACAACAATATTAAAACATTACATATCTTTGGTTAAGTTTAACAGAGCCACTTACAACCCAACTACTCTTGCAGTTTTTACCTATCTTTTCAATACACACCAAAAGCCTATTAACTTCAATTACCTACCTTAAGCTTAAAAACTTATACCTCATCGTTTTTTATAGTTCTCAGATACCAGATATTCCTTTTAACATATAGGGCCTTTTCTTAAATTATAACTTAAGCAATGTATGAACAATACAATATAAAAATCACATGTCAGCCATCAATTTTATGTTTGTCTTGCATAATTGTCAACACGTAAAAACAACTTATTATCTTTTTTCTTAATACCGAATCAGTAATTTATGTTCATGAAATTATAACTTAAAAAAATCTTTTATATTTACCAGGTACCAAATGTTGTTTTTTGACATAGAGGGCCTTCCATGCTTAAGTTGTAAGTTAAGTACTACATGAAAATTACATTACAAAAACATTTTATCGTATTTAAATTTCATCTCAACAGCACTTTCAAATATATCATTTACTATATCATTCCTTAAACACTAGCACAATACACTAGACTGCAGAGATTACGATGGGCAGGGCATGTGGCCCGCATGCATGAGAACAGAATCCCCAGAAAATTACTAAACGCAAGAATGCAAGGAAAAAGACCTGTTGGAAGACCAAAAAAGAGATGGGAAGACGAGGTAGATGAGGATGCCAAAAATCTCCTAAAAACACGTTCATGGAAAAGAACAGCAGTAAATAGAGATGTTTGGAGAGGTCTAATGAAGGAGGCCAAGGCCCGGCTTGGGCTGTAGTGCCATTGGATGGATGGATATCATTCCTTAACAATAAAGTTTATTGAACCCACCTTCCTACATATGTCTATTTTTCCATTTTCTAGTTACCAAATGTTGCATAACATTAAGCGCCTTTTGTTAAAATCTTTAGTTAAGAGCCAATAAATTCACACTTATGTATAGTTGGTTGCCTATGAATATCCACAAAATTTCACCGTACCTCAGTCTACCTACATTAATTTATAAAAAAAAAATTTAATGTTCTCAACATAAATATAGGACAAATTCACATTACAAACTACAACATTGATGGTTGCTACTGTTATATTATTATAATTTTAACATATTCAATTTTAAATATTGCTGGCTTCTATTATATTTAGACAACTACCGTAAGTTGCACTGACTGCTTTGGTCCTTCATCCGTCCTATTATGTCAATATTGTTATTTTAATCAGTTGCTATCAACAGGTCCTCGTAGACACTTTGTCTCAGGACCAAGTAACCTTATGTGGAGTCATACGTCGCCATGTTACCAATTCCAGTGGTAACTTAAACATCTTAATTAACTTTTAAGAACATATAATGTAACAAAAATTTAAATTAACAACATTTAACGGGTTTCTACCCATATATTTTAGTGGATCAAAACATGTATACTTACATAGTAAGTATTAACTACATTTTGCATTAACCTTAGTCAACATTTCAAATTTTACGTTCTTTTTAATTAAAGTGGTTATATACTTTCAGATTACACTGATAATGGAATTTACATTCCAAAAACGTTCTGTAATTGTGATATATCCCATTGGGGTATTTTATTATATACCTCTTATAAAAGATTTAAAAAAAAATTGTGATACGTTGTATATATACAGCCAGCTACAGGAACTTAGTTTCCTAGTGGGTTTTAGAAAAAAATTAAATATCTAGGAATCTAAGAATTAGGAGAAATTTTTTAAGAAAAAGATTATTTGTGATATTTAAATAGATATTTATTAAGGTTGTGGTTAAAATATTAGATTGTTTTATTAAACCATTCAAGTTATTCTTATCTTAAATGGAACTCCCTATATTTTAGTAGTCTTTTATGTGACAATTTTTTCTGTCAAATGTAGACTTTTTATCTACTTATGTCAGTCCAATGTTTATGCACAGATCTAATACAAGCACCTAGATAAATATTACTAAAAAGAGATACCACATCTAAACTGTCAAAAACATAGTAGTACCACTGTATTAAAAAATTTGTTTACTTCATGAGAATCTTTTATGAAATGTTTATTGATTTTGTCATATGCTAAGGTTAAAATATCTGTAACAAACCAAGACATATTCCCTGCGGGTACATTTACCCATTTTCTACCAGAATATCAATAAATATATTTTTTCATAAATATAACTGAAGATGACAATGGAATGAAACTAAATAAATGTAAAAATATGTTTTTATTAATTTTTTTTATAAACATAAGAAAAAAACGCTGTGACCATATGGTCACACAGGGAGGTTACCTATATATACATTATGTATTTACTACTGTGTATGAAAAATTTTAAAACACTCAATGCAAAGTCCTAAATTACATTTTTTACATTGTGTACGTATTACAGAAGAACATCCTTCTCCTGCACACCTACGTCTTTTACCGTTAGGAACTAGAACAACAAGATCGTCAATTTTGTCATATCGTAGATTGTCGGGCACTTTATTCTTCTTCTTTGGGTTCCTTCTCCTAGCGGAGGTTGGAAATCATAATCGCTATTTTAACTTTATTCATGGACAGACTATTCTTGCTGACTGAAGGCTTACCAGGACGTCTAGGCGGTACTCCATATTTCCGCATATACATATGTGCAATTTCTCGGCGGAAAACTATATTTGGTGTTTTTTTTTTCTTTCCTTTGAGGACTTCTTATAAAGCACCCACGCGTTATGTACTCATACGTCAACAAGCCAAGTAAAAAGAGGCCAATACCACTTTTTACTTCTGATGCCAATCCTGTATCGTGCCACATCTTCATCCATTCTATCCGTGCCACCCATGAATGTATTATATTTTGCAATAATCAAAGGCCTTTGTACTTTAATAATTTTCTTCTGTTTCTTAGAGTATCTCTTGACGTAACTTTGAGGATTGATACCGTAGCAAAATGATGCAGCCGTAACTACAGCATTATCCATTCACTTGACCAATATAAATCCGTCATTTTTAGATATAACATAATCAACAGAACCTCTAGTTTTAGTAGCCATTACTTTGTTATCCGGCAAAGGGCAACACTTAGGAACTCTATTTTGTCTTATTGTTCCAGTACAGTCATATCCCCTTAGTTTTAATTCTGCAAGCAAATTGAAACTCGTAAATAGATTATCGGTATAAATATGGTAATTTGGCATCTTATTTGGTAGATCGTCAAGCATTTGAAGTAAAGGAGCTGTTGCACTTCCAAATTTCTAAAAAATCTACATAACTGTTATCAGTTGAAATCTGTTTACCTTGATATAACTGAAAACGAATCATATAACTGTCTTCAGAATTCAAACACCAAGCTTTATAGCCAAAGCGTATTGGCTTACCTTTGATAAACTGTTTAC